TAAGCTGAGGGTGCAGAGAAGCATATTTCTATGTGTGCATAAGCTGAGGGTGCGGGGAAGCATATTTCTATGTGTGTGTAAGCTGAGAGCTCCTGGGGTGGACACTGGTCTTTCTGAAACCCCAGGCTTTCAGGAAAGGCTGCACTCAGCTTGGGGGAGTGGGTGGGGAAACATTTTAAAGGTCCATCTGGCTGTGTCTGCATACATTCTACACTCATGAAGAGTGAGATCAGAGGCTTCATCCACCCATAAGATGCCTTTGCAGAAGAATTACAACAAGACACATGCTGTGTATACTGAAATTAGTGATGTAACTTATGGAACAGGAGGAAAAACACGCTGATGAGCAAGGCAGAAAAGAGAGAGTTTGGGGCTGGCAAAGGAGCCTGAGGTCACGTGTGCCTCACGCAGGGACTGCCTCGGCCACTTACAGCAGTACTGCACCCGGTCTGTGATGCATCAGCACAGGGTGCCACGTGAGGTTGTGCAAGTGGGCACTGCACGAAGGCATTCCGCTGAGGGACACATGAAGGCCCATTTGTCTCCTAAGCCTTGCCCTGACTAGGCTGGATCAAACCAAAAAAAGGGATGCCTTTCTATAATTTATCAGTTTAGAGGGGGTAGCTTTTGTAATTTGCACCAAGGCACCCATACGTGCAGTTTCCTTCAGGGACTGGCCAAAGAACAGGAAGTTAATCACATTAGGCTCCACCTGAGGAAGGTGTGGGAGCAGGAGGTGTCTCTACAGCCCCGGGGAAAGAGTCAGGAGGCCTTTATGCTGGCCTGCTCTCTGAGCCTCAGGTTCCCTATGCATGGTATTGGAATGGATGGCCTCCAGGTTCCCCCAGTTCCCTGTTCTAAAGGCCTGTGACTCCTACGGGGTCATCCTTCCCTCCTGAGCTTCCCTGCCAGGTGTAACCATGTGGCCCCAGAAACAGATGAGCTCCCAGAAGTACTCTAGGCTCCCCACTTCTCACCCACCCTGAGGGCCAGGACAAGGACTCAGCACATGCTGGCATACCCTTCCTGCCACTTTCTCTCCCCCTCCTGGCCTAGGCACCAACTGGTCTCCTCTGGCATGACCGTCCCTTCTCTGGACTTTCTCCTCTACTTTTGAGCACCAGCCCTGTAGCTAGTTTCTCCTGGGATTCTCAATCCTGGCTGCTCCTAGGAATCCTGAAGACCTGTGGAAAAGGCAGACGCTACATTCACCAAGTCTCCGAAACCAGCATTTCCAGGAGTGGGACAAGGCACTTGAATTCTTAATTTTTATTTTATTTATTTATTTGAGATGGACTCTTTTTATTTATTTATTTATTTATTTTTGAGATGGAGTCTGGCTCTTGTTGCCCAAGCTGGAGTTCAATGGCGTGATTTTGGCTCACCGCAACCTCTGCCACCTGGGGTTCAAGCGATTCTCCTGCTTCAGACTCCCAAGTAGCTGGGATTACAGGCATGTGCCACCACACCCAGCTAATTTTGTATATTTAGTAGAGATGAGGTTTCTCCATGTTGGTCAGGCTGTTCTCGAACTCCCGACCTCAGGTATCCGCCCTCCTTGGCCTCCCAAAGTGCTGGGATTACAAGCATGAGCCACCAAGCCCAGCCGAGATGGGGGTCTTACTCTGGGGCCCAGGCTAGAGTGCAGTGGCACTGCAACCTCTGCCTTCTGGGTTCAAGTGATTATCCTGCCTTAGCCTCCTGAGTAGCTGGGATTACAGGGATATGCCACCACACCAAGATAATTTTGGTATTTTTAGTAGAGATGGGGTTTCACCGTGTTGGCCAGGCTGGTCTTGAACTCCTGGCCTCAAGTGATCCTCCCGCCTTGGCCTCCCAAAGTGCTCGGATTACAGGCATGAGCCACCATGCCTGGCCAAGGCACCTGGATTCTAATGTGTCTCCCAGATGATGTTGATGCCCAAGTGAGAATCACCATGGTTCATGTCTTAAGAGTAGGAACCATGTTTTTCTGCTGTGTCCTGGGCATATACACTGGACCCTACGCCGAGAAAGAGCTTCATAAGCACCTGCCATGTAGGTAGGTGGGAGGAAGGAACACCCAGCTGAGTCAGGAGACTGATGTGGGTTTCAGCAAGAGGCAGGGCCTGGGTGGTTGTTCTGTTAGCCTCTGGCCCTGGACCTCCAGGAGCCCCTTCTATGGAGACTACGTAGGGCCAGGGTTCAAGTGTGACACCTGGAGAGAACCAAAGCATCACATGCTCTGACCCTCTGTTTTTCTTTTACATGAGTGAATACAGGAGTTCCATAATTATATTAATACTGAATCTTTGGTAAACTTGAGAAGCTGGCAATGATTTTCCACATTCAAAGCTCTATAACTTGCTTTGGAGCTGCATCTTTTACAAAGGCTGCCCCTTGGTGGCAATTTTGTCTGATGCTCGTAGACATAACTATGCATGGTATTGTCTTCTCTTTTTAAATGAACATTTTGTAGAAGGTAATATATGCGTATAATTTTTTAAAATCCAAACAGTTCAAAAAGCTGGTTTCCTTCCCAGTTGAGACTGGCCCAAACCCCGGGTTTTTCTCCCCAGATGTAATCACTGTTACTCTTGTGGATCCTTCCAGAAAGAACTTACACGTATACAAGTAAAAACATATTCTTATATAAATCCCCTTTTCAAAGCAAATGTCAGTATCATATCCATTCTCTTTTGAACCTTTCTTTGTTCACTTTGTCAACTGAATCTTGAAGATGGTTTTTTATCGGCAGCCAGATTTGCCCCATTCTTTGTTGCAGCGTTGTGGGGCCCCATGGCCCTGACGTCCCTTTAGGTACCTCACCAGCTCCTGGCTAGTGGGCAACCATCCATTTATGAGGAGCCCTAGGCGGGCCTGAGGGAGGCCCCCAAAGCCCCTTCTTTCCCTCTCTGTGCCTTGATCCTAGCTGCTTGTTTCTCGGCCTCAATCCCCACCCTCATCCCCTTGGACTCTCTTCTACCTTCTGATCCCCATGGGGGTGGCAGCCCGGTCCATTGCCATGGCATTCCGCTGATGTTGTCTCAACACAGCCTGGTGTGACCTCACTGCAGGCGGGGCTGCAAGGGCAGGTCTTGCTGTAGCCATGGCAACCAAGGAACACCCCAAAACCCAGAGGCTACAGAGGAGAGCAAAGCTGCTTCTGGTCGACTAGTTTGAGTTACATTTTTATTTCCTAAAGTCTGTGATATGCTACAAAATCAGAATTCATTTCTCCCTTTTCTTTTCCTTGTTCATCAAGGATCAAGCGAGGAGCCTTTACATATTTCGTGTCACAAAATATTCCTGAGAAGTCTTTGAGCAAATACCACTGTCCCCATTTTACAGTTGAGAAAACTGAGGTTGGGAGACTACAAAGCCCAGCCTGTACAGCTCTCCCTGGTGAGGACTGAGCACCTCCAGACTCCCAGGCCAAAGGCTTGCTTTCTTTAAAATACTAGGGAAGTGGGGAGGAGAGCAAAGATCAGTTAGGATGATCTGGAAGGTTCTTCCCAACTCTGTGAGTCAGGGATTCTTATGCTTCTGACAACCACCCCTGCTATGAGAGAACTCCCTCAGGCCACAAAGTCCACTTTACTCAAGTTCCCTAGGTGACTCACAAAGGAGGAAAATGAAGGAAAGGAGCATGAGGACAGGTAAGGAGAGGGGGACCTGCCCCCTGGAAGATGGCATAGGTCCCTGTCCCCCTCCTTACCTTTCTTGGCATTTGCAGCCTTCTTGTCCTTCTGGATTTGTGGCTCGGCGGTGACCTGGGTCAGGAGGGAGAAGAGGCAGAGTAGCAGGTAGGCCCCCCAGAGCTCCATGCTGCTGCGTGGGCTGCAGTGGGTCTGGGACCGAACGCAGTGACAGCCACAGCCCAGGCTGCTCGTCTTAAGGCAGCAGCCAGAGGACTTCTGTCCAGGAAACCCTCCCCAACTTGGCTGCAGGCGTGCCAAAAAAGTAAAACAAACACAAAAGCCTGCAGAAGGACAAAGGCCTGAGAGTCACAGAGCCTTGCTGCCCAGGGAACACCCACCCAGCATCCTGGCCCTGCCTTCTAGAAAGGAGCCCTTATTTTCCAGGATTCTGAGAAACACATGGTGGTTGTCATGCTCACATCTGTGGAGCAGCTACCCTGGGTAGGGGCTGAGGCTGCTATTCACTGATATTAATTCACAGAAGCCTCACACCCAAACCATGAGGGACGCACTGTCCTTTCCCCATTTTACCATTGAGAAAGTGAGGCTCAGTGAGGTTAGGTTGTCAAGGGGCAGCAATGCCCCCTTATAGAGTGATCTGGGGCTGGCTGTTTGATTGGTTTAGAATATTTGTTGTGATTATTTTGTGGCTATGTCTCCATGTACTTGATGCATTTTTTGGTTAAAAAATACAAGGGAGTCCTTTCCTTCTTGTCTTCCCTTTCTCCTCAGTCCTGTCCTAAAGCCACCAAGTAAGGCATAGCAAAGGTGAGGGAGGCAGAAGCCATGGTGCCCCAGAGGTATCAGAGAGGATGTGGGGAGAATGTGCCCTCAACGCATGGACTGGTGCCGGCTGTGGGAGCCCAGCAGGGTGGAGGATCCTGGAGTGCCGGAGTCCAAGCCAAGTGAGGAGGAGATCCATGTGGGCTGGTGGCAGGAGATTGGTTACACACAGAGATATTGATCAAATAAATCTACCCAAGACAGTGAGAGTCAAGTTTCCTATTGTCAGAGAAGGGAGTTAATGTATATGGAGCGAAAACTAGAATGAATCCTGTGGTGTAGGATTAAAATTGGAATTTTAAAATTGGTGTGGAATTAAAATTGGCATGATTGGTGTGCACTTGTGGCCTTGAATACGTAAAGATAAACCCATAAATATAGATGGAAATGTGTGTGCGTCTAGTCACCACTGTCACTGGGGGGCCTGGAGCACTCCTAGCACCCGAACACTGGCTTCTGAATATGACTTTCCACTAAAGGAACCAGAGCGCCTTGGAGAAACAGCTGCTTCTAGCACTGGGAAGTAAGGGTGGGGTGCAGAAAATGAGCCCAGAACTTGTTTTGCCAGAAAACAAGGAAATGCTGAAAGAATCATGGGAACATGTCAGTAGGACACAGAGCCAGCTTGACGGAGCCTTTAGTGGTCAGAATCAGGGACAACTTGGACACCAACATAGTAACAGTAACAGATGGGAAACCACCAGTGCACACAGATATAAGTAAGGGAATGCATTGAAAGTCTGATGTTCTTCAGTGCGATGTTTACATAGTCTCAAAGTATCTGCCCACAAAATACTTATCCATTCTGCAGAGCAAAAGAGCAACTTCATGGTGGAGAAGCCTGACAGATACCACCTCATCCAGTGGCCAAGATAAATATCAATAATGGGACCAATAAAAAGTTTGCAGCACTTGAGGGGCTGCAGTGAGAATGTGGCATCACCCCATGGGACTCCTACCAGAGAGACATCAGACAATCCCAAATGGAGAGGCGTTTTGCAAAACTCCTGGCTGAGGAACTGTTTCAGACCAAAGGAGACTGAAGACACAGAACAACTAAATGCAGTATGTGATTCTGGACTGGACCCTCCATTCTCAAGGATGCAACTGGGACAAATAGAGAAACCCGATGGGGTCTGAGGAGCACACGGCAGTGATGTGTTGTCACATGCTGCGTTATGATATTTCAGTCAAAAACAGACTACATATATGATATGGTTCCATAAGATTATAATGGGGCAGAAAAATTCCTATCACCTAGTGATGTTGTAAGGGGTTGTAAAGTCAGAGTGAAACTCATTACTCCCATGTTTGTGGTGATGCTGGTGTAAGCAAACTTACTGCACCGCCAGTCATATCAAAGCAGAGCACATACAGTTATGCAAAGCACATACTTTGTTAGTCCATTTTCACACTGCTCTAAAGAACGGCCTGAGACTGGGTAATTTAGAAAGGAAAGAGGTTTAATTGACTCACAGTTCTGCACGGCTGGGAAGGCCTCAGGAAACTTACAATTGTGGCAGAAGGTGAAGAGGAAGCAAGCACCTTCTTCACAAGGAGGCAGGAAGTAGAATGAATGCAGGAGAAACTGCCAAACACTTATAAAACCATAAGATTTCGTGAGAACTCACAAGAACAGCATGGGAAAAACTGCCCCCATGGTTCAGTTACCTCCACCTGGTCTCTCCCTTGACACATGGGAATTATGAGCATTACAATTCAAGGTAAGATTTTAGATGAGAACACAGTCAAGCCATATCATTCTGCCCCACATGATTGTGCTTTGAAATGTAAGGACATGAGATTTGGGAGGGGTCAGGGCAGAATGATATGGCTAGGCTGTGTCCCCACCCAAAATCTCACCTTGAATTGTAATCCTCATAATCCCCATGTGTCAAGGGAGAGACCAGGTGGAGGTAACTGAACCATGGAGGCAGTTTTTCACATGCTGTTCTCATGATAGTGAGTCTCATGAGATCTGATGGTTTTATAAGCATCTGGCATTTCCTCTGCTTGTACTCACTCTGTCCTGCTGCCCTGTGAAGAAGATGCCTGCTTCTCCCTTGCCTTCCACCATGATTGTAAGTTTCCTGAGGCCTCCCAAGCCATGCAGAACTGTGAGTCAATTAAACCTCTTTCCTTTCTAAATTACCTATTCTTGAGCAGTTTTTTTAACAGTGTGAGAACAAACTAATACAATGATAATAAATGACCATGTTACTCGTTTATGCATTTACTGTACTATACTTTTTGTCATTATTTTAGAGTGTACTCCTTCTACTTATTAAAAAAAAAAAAAGTTAACTGTGAAACAGCCTCAGATGGGTCCATCAGGAGGTTTTCCAGAAGGCGGCACTGTTATCATAGGAGATGATAGCTCCATGCATGTGACTGCCCCTGAAGACCTCCCACTGAGACAAGAGGTGGAGGTGGAAGACAGTGACGCTGATAATCCTGACCCTGTGTAGGCATGGGCTAATGTGTGTTTGTGTCTTAGCTTTTAACAAAAAGTTTAAAAAGAAAAAAAAGCTAACTAGAAAAAGCCTATAGAAAAAGATATAAATATTTTTGTACAACTATATAAAGTGTTTGTGTTTTAAGCTAAATATTATAAAAGAGTCAAAAAGTTAAAAGAGTTCAAAAGTATACAAAGTAAAAAAAGTTATGGTAAGCACAGGTTAATTTATTATTAAAAAGAAAAATATTTTTTTAAAAATGTAGTGCAGCTTACGTGTACAGTGTTTATAGTCTGCAGTAGTATAATGTCCTAGTGCCCCAGGTTCACTCACCACTCACTCACTGATTCACCCAGAGCAATGTCCAGTCCTGCAAGCTCCATTCATGGTACCAAAATGGTACACTGCCCTACACCAGTGTGCCAGTTTTTATCTTTTATACTAGGTGTCCCCAACCTCTGGGCCATGGACCACTACTGAGCTCTGCCTCGTCAGGTCAGCAGCAGCATTAGGTTCTTATGCGAGCAGGAGCCCTACCGTAAACTGCGCATGCGAGGATCTAGGTTGCACACTCCTTACGAAAATCTAATGCCTGATGATCTGAAGTGAAACAGTTTCATCCTGAAACCGTCACCCAAGCCCCACATCCATGGGAAAATTGTGTTTCATGAACCCAGTTTCTGGTGCCAAAAAGATTAGGACTGCTATTTTACACCATATTTTTACTCCACTGTTTCAATGGAGTAAAATCGTGTGAGATACACAAATACTTACCATTATGTTACAACTCCCTAGAGTATTCAGTGCAGTCACATGCTGTACAGGTTTGTAGCCTAGGAGCAACATGCCATTACCCTAGAACCTAGGTGTGCGGTAGTCTGTGCCATCTAGGCTTGTGTAAGTGCACTCTGCCATAGTAGCACAACGATGAAGTCCCCTGATGTTGCATTTCTCAGAACGTATTCCCATTGTTAAGCAATACATGACTGTATCCCTGTCACAGTCCCTACTTGATGGTGTGCTGTAATTATGTAGGAGGGTGTCCTTGTCTGTAGGAAACATACACTGAAGTGTTAGCGATACAACACCGTGTTGACAACTTACAAAGTTCAGGGAAAAATGTTCTTTGTACTGTAGTTGCAAATTTTCTGTGAGTTTGAGACTTCCAAAAGAAAATAACAATACTATGTACTTCAGGCTTTTCCCTGCCTTTCAGGGACCCCGCCTTGCCCTATCTGAATTAGGGAGTGATCTGTTATGTAGGCCAGGAAAGCTGGGCTGGCTCAGTGCACAGTGGTCCTGCCAAGGGTGGGAGTAGAGCGTTTGCACAGCCCCTGAACAGCACTGGACTCCACCTCTCACATTCTCAGAATGGGAAGGGTTTTATATTCACAGCTGGGCCCTCGGGAGATAATTTGGAGCCTGATGATTACATAAGCTAACAAGGAGCCTTGTTCCTGGAACTCTGGGTGGGTAGCAGATGGTAAAGGAAAATTAATATTCTTTTTTTTTTTTTTAACTGCTTTGCTTTCCTGGTTTTCTCACCCTGGCCCAACTCTATGTTGGCCCTTCAGTGGTAGAAAAATGAACTGAGTATGGCTTCTAAACATGAGGCAACCAGAAGCCCCAAGTGTTCTAGGGTGAGCTGATGGTTGAAGCCATGGGGACTGTTGTGGCATCTCACAGGGCACTAAACACAGGCAGGGCTAGGAAGGAAGGTGGCCCCCAGGCTGAGGAAGGGACAAAGAGGGTGTGGCCCGGTGAGGGGAGAAAGGAATGCGCACAGGGCTCCAGGTGGAAAAGGCATGAGCAGAGTCTTGAAGCCAAGCAAAAGCATCTTATGTTCTAGATCCTGAGCTGATGAAGATAGATAGGGCAGTGAAGACATAAAGCTGGATATGTAGCTAGCAGAGCCATCAAGCCATCTTAAAAGACTCTGGACACACGCCTGGAGACCATGGGGGGGCCAATGGAGAACCAAACTGGGGAGGGCTGGGATCAGAGCACACTTTGGAGAAGGCACTTTGCCTGCTGAGCATGGAATGC